GGCCTCTAAACGGAAAGTCAAGAGATCGCCCACAACTATAGTGTTGGTCGGCGTTCCTCTGTATAAAACTCTGAGCACCACATTAGAGGTGAGTATGTTCTGTGCGGGCAAGTGCTCGATCTGTGTCGGGTGTCGCCTAATAATGCAATTTAATATTCAATTAGTCATTTCAAGTTATAGCAGTTTAAAGTGATATAAAGATTGTGAGCCGACCCATCAGTTTTAGTATCCAAATAGTTAGAAGTGACGACCGCTTCTCCGGGTCCTGAGAAAAAACACGTCAGATTATACTTCTTGTCACGACTGGTCTGTACGTAATCATTGAACTGAACGACAACAATGTTGGTCATGGCGTCGCCGTACTGTTGAGTCCCACACCTGGGAAAGCCATTCGTGCGACTGATCCTAAGGACACTAGTGGTGCCTCCGTTGCCATCGAAAAAACACGAATCATAGAAACCGTAGGTATAGATACGGCCGTAAAAGGCCTCAGATGTACGCAAACTAAACTCCATGCCTTCCGGAGTACAGGTTTGGGTCACTTCCATACAGTCGGCTGCGTTGGCAGTGCCGGCAGTACCGCCTCCTCCGGCCGCCAGGTCTGAGCGCTCGTAATAATCGTATTGCGAATTGTGCTCAAAATAAGTCGGATTATCGTATTTAAACTCTTTTGAATCGAAATGACTTAATTCGCAATTATCGGGAAAAAATGCCCTAAAGTTAAATGATTTGCAAACAAAATCTCTGGTCTCAGTACAGGCGCGCTCGCAGTCCTCTATTCTGTCGGCGCGAACCACTTTAAACACGTATTGACTCCGAAGTCGTGAACTAAAACCAATTCTTGAAAAGCGAGCCGAGACGGGAGCGCCCGGAGGAGTCGATGCGCCCGAAGAGTATTTGCATAGATCTGTGCCCTTTTGGGGCGGATATGGGGCTGGGATTGAATTGTAAGATCCACTCGAACCCACACTATAAGGGATGCCATAAGTGGGCGGATTGTGTGGCGGTTGGACTATAGGCGGTTGCCCTCCACCAGTGCCACCACTCGTACCCCCACTTGTGCTGATTGGATAACTAGTATGTGTTTGCGTTTGTTGACTGAATGAGCCATAAGGAGGAACTCCATAACCCGGATAACGATTGGCAGTTCCGTAGTTAGCGTTGAATGTTCGTCGAGAGGATGTATAGCCTCCCGGACCGTATTCATCATAAGAAAAGCCTCCCCTGTGATGGTCTCGGCCTTGAGTTTGATATGTGTTAGCCCACGGCTGATACCCTCCACTATATAATGGTTCGGTAGGACTGGCCATTCCAGGAGCCATTCCCGGAGCCATTCCCGGACTCATTCCCGGAGCCCCGCTATGAAAACCAGCTCTTTGTTCGTAGATATGACTCGCGTAACTGTGAGGATAGACTCCGTTTCCACTTCGATCTAATGG